GGCGGCAGCGGGCGCTCTTAGCCCTGTTCCTCTGCTCATAACAGCAGTTATCAGCCTGAAGACAGCCTCAACATAGGTCCCACCATTGTCGACTCTACCTCCGACCAGCCTTGAGCCCGTCTCCAAGGCTCTGAGCAGCTCCTTCCCCGTTCCCAGGGGATGTCACTTGAGCAGACAGGCTTCTGCGCTCGCCAGCCCTTTCCCCCCAGCCTCCTCCTGCACCACCTCTGCTCTGGGCTGGGGTCCATGGGTGTCTCCTTCGGTGGCTTTTCATTGCTGTTGCTGAAGGTGTTTGCATGAAGCTTTGGGATTTAATGCGACATAAAGAACTTTTTAACAGGTTTTCTATTTCTAGAATGATCTCTATCTTCAGTTCACTCCTTTCTGGAACGGGCTGTGGTTGGGCTCCAGCAGGAAGGGTATGACTGCTCCTAAAAGCTCCTTCAGACAGTGAACTCTGCTGCACTGGGGACTCAATGGACTCTCCATCTCAGCACCGGGCAGTGGCCGGGTCCTGGTGTCCCCCCACCAGCCCCAAGCTGCTCCATAGCCCACCCAGCGCCGGGATCAGCGTTTCCATCTGTGCAATGTCCTGGAGCATTGCTGGCTGTGCATGGAATGCCAACGGGATGTGAATGGCACCTCCGGCTCTCCAGGGCTTTGTGAATGCAGAGTGGATCTCGCACGTCTGTCACAGCAACTGCTGCTCTGGGGCCTGTGGCTTTCCCTCCTCCCTTGTGAGCAATTTATTCCTGTGCTGACAGCCAGCTATTGACTTCTTGTTCTCCTGGAGATGAGATGTCCTGTCTCATCAGCTTTAAATTAGCTTTATCTTTAGACTTTGCTATTAATAAGCTCTCATCATAATGTCATTACTTGATATCTATTTTCTGATGCTTTTCATTAACGGCTCCATATCTTCCAGATATTTTTATTCAAGTATATTTTCCCCTGCTGCCTGAGTTATTTAACAGTCAGACACAGATCATGAGGGGAGGGTGGTCAATGCCAGTGAGTTGAGGTGACACTGGGGTGTCTCTGCTCCCCTCTAATCCCAGGCTCAGCTCTGCCAACCTGGTGCTCTCGTGTATCAATAGAGCAATTCAAATGCCTCCATGAGGCCGAGGTGGTGCAATCCACACGGACAGCGCGGTTGGGCTGGGGAGAACAGAGGATGACTTTCTGAGGCTCCCTTTCCACAGGACTCCATGGAACACAGGAGGGGCGATGGGCACAGGTTACTCCCGGGGGGATTCCAACTGGACACAAGGGGACAATTTTTCCCAGTGAGAACAATCAGCCACTGGAATAATCTCCCTGGGAAGTGCTGGGTTCCCCAGTGTTGGACACTGTTAAGATTCGGCTGGACGGGGTGCTGGGACATTCGCACCCCTTTTAGCTGAACTTCCTCTAGGAAATTGGAAGTGGGAAGGAATTATTTCCTATTATTTCATTGGGTCTGTTCCTTTTGGAGGCACTTTTCCCAGCAGTTGGGGAGCTGGCTTCAGGGATTGTCTCACTGTATCTTTGGTGGTGTCAAAGCAAAGCCCATTGGTGTTGAAAACACCCAAATCTCCTCAGTCTCCTTCCCAAGACCAGGAAAATGCAATGGGCTTCCTTTCCTGGAGTCGAGTATATGTGTGGCAAGGCAGGGCAGGGCTGGGACGTGGGTGAGGGGATTAGTGCAAGAACAAACCTCTCTGCTTGTGTAGGTGGGGAGGAAGGTGCCTGATTCCCCAAAAGGAGCCCTGCTCTGGCAGTGGCCGGACGTGCGGTGGCATCGCTAATAGAGCCATCAGGTGGGTGATGTTCACCACAGCCCCATGGCAAGGAGCAGCCAGATGGGGGGGGTCCTTCTCCCCTCCTCAGCCACCCGGGTGTCAAGGGCATGGGCTGGAGCACAGGAACAGGAACGAGACTCAGCTTTGGTCAAGTCAACCCTGATGTGGGGGTTTGAGCCTAATCAAGCTGCTCCATCCCCTTTGGGTTATTTAGGCTGCTTGTAACCTGTTTTTATTGTTTTCTTTTAACATCATCTTTTTGTTATTCAGTTGCAAGACGTCTCGGGAAGGCCGGGGGGGAGCTTTGAAGCTGCCAGAACTGAGCAGGCGCTTCACAGAACAGTTTCTCTTTAAAGCAGGGAAATAAATAGGCTGACGTTTGAAATAAAGATTCTGCTCATTATTTCCTTATGTAAACACTGTTTTCAAAGCTGCTGATGGGAAAACCTTCCCCACCCCGTGCTCAGCAGAGAGCCCAGCACAGACCTGCT